CACCTCCACCATCACCTCCACCATCACCTCCACTATCACCTCCACCATCACCCCCACCATCACCCCCACCATCACCTCCACCATCACCCCCACCATCACCTCCACCATCACCCCCACGATCACCTCCACCATCACCTCCACCATCACCGACCACCACCACCTCCACCATCACCTCCACCATCACCCCCACCATCACCCCCACCATCACCTCCACCATCACCTCCACCATCACCCCCACCATCACCTCCACCATCACCTCCACCATCACCCCCACTATCACCCCCACCATCACCCCCACCATCACCCCCCCATCACCTCCACCATCACCTCCACCATCACCATCACCCCCACCATCACCTCCACCATCACCTCCACCATCACCTCCACCATCACCATCACCCCCACCATCACCTTCACCATCACCCCCACCATCACCCCCACCATCACCCCACTATCACCTCCACCATCACCTCCACCATCACCCCCACCATCACCCCCACTCACCTCCACCATCACCCCCACCATCACCTCCACCATCACCCCCACCATCACCTCCACCATCACCTCCACCATCACCCCCACCATCACCTCCACCATCACCTCCACCATCACCCCCACCATCACCTCCACCATCACCTCCACCATCACCCCCACTATCACCCCCACCATCACCTCCACCTCCACCACCACCTCCATCATCACCTCCACCATCACCTCCACCTCCACCATCACCTCCATCATCACCTCCACCATAACCTCCACCATCACCTCCACTATCACCTCCACCATCACCCCCACCATCACCCCCACCACCACCTCCACCATCACCCCCACCATCACCTCCACCATCACCCCCACGATCACCTCCACCATCACTTCCACCATCACCCCCCACCACCACCTCCACCATCACCTCCACCATCACCATCACCCCCACCATCACCCCCACCATCACCCCCACCATCACCTCCACCATCACCCCCACCATCACCTCCACCATCACCTCCACCATCACCCCCACCATCACCCCCCCATCACCTCCACCATCACCTCCACCATCACCATCACCCCCACCATCACCTCCACCATCACCTTCACCATCACCTCCACCATCACCATCACCCCCACCATCACCATCACCCCCACCATCACCCCCACCATCACCCCCACTATCACCTCCACCATCACCTCCACCATCACCCCCACCATCACCCCCACTCACCTCCACCATCACCCCCACCATCACCTCCACCATCACCCCCACCATCACCTCCACGATCACCTCCACCATCACCCCCACTATCACCCCCACCATCACCCCCACCATCACCCCCCCATCACCTCCACCATCACCTCCACCATCACCATCACCCCCACCATCACCTCCACCATCACCTCCACCATCACCTCCACCATCACCCCCACCATCACCTTCACCATCACCCCCACCATCACCCCCACCATCACCCCCACTATCACCTCCACCATCACCTCCACCATCACCCCCACCATCACCCCCACTCACCTCCACCATCACCCCCACCATCACCTCCACCATCACCCCCACCATCACCTCCACCATCACCTCCACCATCACCCCCACCATCACCCCCACCATCACCTCCACCATCACCTCCACCATCACCCCCACCATCACCTCCACCATCACCTCCACCATCACCCCCACTATCACCCCCACCATCACCTCCACCTCCACCATCACCTCCATCATCACCTCCACCATCACCTCCACCTCCACCATCACCTCCATCATCACCTCCACCATAACCTCCACCATCACCTCCACTATCACCTCCACCATCACCCCCACCATCACCCCCACCATCACCTCCACCATCACCCCCACCATCACCTCCACCATCACCCCCACGATCACCTCCACCATCACCTCCACCATCACCCCCACCACCACCTCCACCATCACCTCCACCATCCCCCCCACCATCACCCCCACCATCACCCCCACCATCACCTCCACCATCACCTCCACCATCACCCCCACATCACCTCCACCATCACCTCCACCATCACCCCCACCATCACCCCCACCATCACCCCCCCATCACCTCCACCATCACCTCCACCATCACCATCACCCCCACCATCACCTCCACCATCACCTCCACCATCACCTCCACCATCACCATCACCCCCACCATCACCTTCACCATCACCCCCACCATCACCCCCACCATCACCCCCACTATCACCTCCACCATCACCTCCACCATCACCCCCACCATCACCCCCACTCACCTTCACCATCACCCCCACCATCACCTCCACCATCACCCCCACCATCACCTCCACCATCACCTCCACCATCACCCCCACCATCACCCCCACCATCACCTCCACCATCACCTCCACCATCACCCCCACCATCACCTCCACCATCACCTCCACCATCACCCCCACTATCACCCCCACCATCACCCCCACCATCACCTCCACCATCACCCCCACCATCACCTCCACCATCACCTCCACCATCACCCCCACCATCACCTCCACCATCACCCCCACCATCACCTCCACCATCACCTCCACCATCACCTCCACCATCACCACCACCATCACCTCCACCATCACCTCCACCATCACCTCCACCATCACCTCCACCATCACCTCCACCATCACCATCACCCCCACCATCACCTTCACCATCACCCCCACCATCACCCCCACCATCACCACCACTATCACCTCCACCATCACCTCCACCATCACCCCCACCATCACCCCCACTCACCTCCACCATCACCCCCACCATCACCCCCACCATCACCTCCACCATCACCTCCACCATCACCCCCACCATCACCTCCACCATCACCTCCACCATCACCTCCACCATCACCTCCACCATCACCCCCACTATCACCCCCACCATCACCTCCACCTCCACCACCACGTCCATCATCACCTCCACCATCACCTCCACCTCCACCATCACCTCCATCATCACCTCCACCATAACCTCCACCATCACCTCCACTATCACCTCCACCATCACCCCCACCATCACCCCCACCACCACCTCCACCATCACCCCCACCATCACCTCCACCATCACCCCCACGATCACCTCCACCATCACCTCCACCATCACCCCCACCACCACCTCCACCATCACCTCCACCATCACCATCACCCCCACCATCACCCCCACCATCACCCCCACCATCACCTCCACCATCACCCCCACCATCACCTCCACCATCACCTCCACCATCACCCCCACCATCACCCCCCCATCACCTCCACCATCACCTCCACCATCACCATCACCCCCACCACCACCTCCACCATCACCTCCACCATCACCATCACCCCCACCATCACCCCCACCATCACCCCCACCATCACCTCCACCATCACCCCCACCATCACCTCCACCATCACCTCCACCATCACCCCCACCATCACCCCACCATCACCTCCACCATCACCTCCACCATCACCATCACCCCCACCATCACCTCCACCATCACCTCCACCATCACCTCCACCATCACCATCACCCCCACCATCACCATCACCCCCACCATCACCCCCACCATCACCCCCACTATCACCTCCACCATCACCTCCACCATCACCCCCACCATCACCCCCACTCACCTCCACCATCACCCCCACTCACCTCCACCATCACCCCCACCATCACCTCCACGATCACCTCCACCATCACCCCCACTATCACCCCCACCATCACCCCCACCATCACCCCCCCATCACCTCCACCATCACCTCCACCATCACCATCACCCCCACCATCACCTCCACCATCACCTCCACCATCACCTCCACCATCACCCCCCCCATCACCTTCACCATCACCCCCACCATCACCCCCACCATCACCCCCACTCTCACCTCCACCATCACCTCCACCATCACCCCCACCATCACCCCCACTCACCTCCACCATCACCCCCACCATCACCTCCACCATCACCCCCACCATCACCTCCACCATCACCTCCACCATCACCCCCACCATCACCCCCACCATCACCTCCACCATCACCTCCACCATCACCCCCACCATCACCTCCACCATCACCTCCACCATCACCCCCACTATCACCCCCACCATCACCTCCACCTCCACCATCACCTCCATCATCACCTCCACCATCACCTCCACCTCCACCATCACCTCCATCATCACCTCCACCATAACCTCCACCATCACCTCCACTATCACCTCCACCATCACCCCCACCATCACCCCCACCATCACCTCCACCATCACCCCCACCATCACCTCCACCATCACCCCCACCATCACCTCCACCATCACCTCCACCATCACCCCCACCACCACCTCCACCATCACCTCCACCATCACCCCCACCATCACCCCCACCATCACCCCCACCATCACCTCCACCATCACCTCCACCATCACCCCCCCATCACCTCCACCATCACCTCCACCATCACCCCCACCATCACCCCCACCATCACCCCCCCATCACCTCCACCATCACCTCCACCATCACCATCACCCCCACCATCACCTCCACCATCACCTCCACCATCACCTCCACCATCACCATCACCCCCACCATCACCTTCACCATCACCCCCACCATCACCCCCACCATCACCCCCACTATCACCTCCACCATCACCTCCACCATCACCCCCACCATCACCCCCACTCACCTTCACCATCACCCCCACCATCACCTCCACCATCACCCCCACCATCACCTCCACCATCACCTCCACCATCACCCCCACCATCACCCCCACCATCACCTCCACCATCACCTCCACCATCACCCCCACCATCACCTCCACCATCACCTCCACCATCACCCCCACTATCACCATCACCCCCACCATCACCTCCACCATCACCCCCACCATCACCTCCACCATCACCTCCACCATCACCCCCACCATCACCTCCACCATCACCCCCACCATCACCCCCACCATCACCTCCACCATCACCTCCACCATCACCCCCACCATCACCTCCACCATCACCCCCACCATCACCTCCACCATCACCTCCACCATCACCTCCACCATCACCATCACCCCCACCATCACCTTCACCATCACCCCCACCATCACCCCCACCATCACCCCCACTATCACCTCCACCATCACCTCCACCATCACCCCCACCATCACCCCCACTCACCTCCACCATCACCCCCACCATCACCCCCACCATCACCTCCACCATCACCTCCACCATCACCCCCACCACCACGTCCACCATCACCTCCACCATCACCCCCACCATCACCTCCACCATCACCTCCACCATCACCCCCACTATCACCCCCACCATCACCTCCACCTCCACCACCACCTCCATCATCACCTCCACCATCACCTCCACCTCCACCATCACCTCCATCATCACCTCCACCATAACCTCCACCATCACCTCCACTATCACCTCCACCATCACCCCCACCATCACCCCCACCACCACCTCCACCATCACCCCCACCATCACCTCCACCATCACCCCCACGATCACCTCCACCATCACCTCCACCATCACCCCCACCACCACCTCCACCATCACCTCCACCATCACCATCACCCCCACCATCACCCCCACCATCACCCCCACCATCACCCCCACCATCACCTCCACCATCACCTCCACCATCACCCCCACCATCACCCCCCCATCACCTCCACCATCACCTCCACCATCACCATCACCCCCACCATCACCTCCACCATCACCTCCACCATCACCTCCACCATCACCATCACCCCCACCATCACCATCAACCCCACCATCACCCCCACCATCACCCCCACTATCACCTCCACCATCACCTCCACCATCACCCCCACCATCACCCCCACTCACCTCCACCATCACCCCCACCATCACCTCCACCATCACCCCCACCATCACCTCCACCATCACCTCCACCATCACCCCCACTATCACCCCCACCATCACCCCCACCATCACCCCCCCATCACCTCCACCATCACCTCCACCATCACCATCACCCCCACCATCACCTCCACCATCACCTCCACCATCACCCCCACCATCACCCCCACCATCACCTTCACCATCACCCCCACCATCACCCCCACCATCACCCCCACTATCACCTCCACCATCACCTCCACCATCACCCCCACCATCACCCCCACTCACCTCCACCATCACCCCCACCATCACCTCCACCATCACCCCCACCATCACCTCCACCATCACCTCCACCATCACCCCCACCATCACCCCCACCATCACCTCCACCATCACCTCCACCATCACCCCCACCATCACCTCCACCATCACCTCCACCATCACCCCCACTATCACCCCCACCATCACCTCCACCTCCACCATCACCTCCATCATCACCTCCACCATCACCTCCACCTCCACCATCACCTCCATCATCACCTCCACCATAACCTCCACCATCACCTCCACTATCACCTCCACCATCACCCCCACCATCACCCCCACCATCACCTCCACCATCACCCCCACCATCACCTCCACCATCACCCCCACCATCACCTCCACCATCACCTCCACCATCACCCCCACCACCACCTCCACCATCACCTCCACCATCACCCCCACCATCACCCCCACCATCACCCCCACCATCACCTCCACCATCACCTCCACCATCACCCCCACATCACCTCCACCATCACCTCCACCATCACCCCCACCATCACCCCCACCATCACCCCCCCATCACCTCCACCATCACCTCCACCATCACCCCCACTATCACCCCCACCATCACCCCCACCATCACCCCCCCATCACCTCCACCATCACCTCCACCATCACCATCACCCCCACCATCACCTCCACCATCACCTCCACCATCACCTCCACCATCACCCCCACCATCACCTTCACCATCACCCCCACCATCACCCCCACCATCACCCCCACTATCACCTCCACCATCACCTCCACCATCACCCCCACCATCACCCCCACTCACCTCCACCATCACCCCCACCATCACCTCCACCATCACCCCCACCATCACCTCCACCATCACCTCCACCATCACCCCCACCATCACCCCCACCATCACCTCCACCATCACCTCCACCATCACCCCCACCATCACCTCCACCATCACCTCCACCATCACCCCCACTATCACCCCCACCATCACCTCCACCTCCACCATCACCTCCATCATCACCTCCACCATCACCTCCACCTCCACCATCACCTCCATCATCACCTCCACCATAACCTCCACCATCACCTCCACTATCACCTCCACCATCACCCCCACCATCACCCCCACCATCACCTCCACCATCACCCCCACCATCACCTCCACCATCACCCCCACCACCACCTCCACCATCACCTCCATCATCACCCCCACCATCACCCCCACCATCACCCCCACCATCACCTCCACCATCACCTCCACTATCACCCCCACATCACCTCCACCATCACCTCCACCATCACCCCCACCATCACCCCCACCATCACCCCCCCATCACCTCCACCATCACCTCCACCATCACCTCCACCATCACCCCCACCATGACCCCCACCATCACCTCCACCATCACCCCCACCATCACCTCTACCATCACCCCCACCATCACCTCCACTATCACCTCCACCATCACCCCCACCATCACCTCCACCATCACCTCCACCATCACCTCCACTATCACCTCCACCATCACCTCCACCGTCACCCCCACCATCACCCCCACCATCACCTCCACCATCACCCCCACCATCACCTCCACCATCACCTCCACCATCACCCCCACCATCACCTCCACCATCACCCCCACCATCACTTCCACCATCACCCCCACCATCACCTCCACCATCACCTCCACCATCACCTCCACCTCCACCATCACCTCCACCATCACCCCCACCATCACCCCCATCATCACTTCCACCATCACCCCCACCATCACCTCCACCATCACCTCCACCATCACCTCCACCATCACCCCCACCATCACCTCCACCATCACCTCCACCATCACCCCCACCATCACCTCCACCATCACCCCCACCATCACCCCCACCATCACCTCCACCATCACCTCCACCATCACCTCCACTATCACCCTCACCATCACCCCCACCATCACCCCCACCATCACTCCCACCATCACCTCCACCATCACCCCCATCATCACCTCCATCATCACCCCCACCATCACCCCCACCATCACCCCCACCATCACCTCCACCATCACCTCCACCATCACCTCGACCCCGGTCACGTAAGCCCATGCGGAGAGGAGAGGGCGAGGCTTTGAACGAGGGCACCTTCAGCTTCAAGGGGAGGTCGGGACTTTGATATCAGCGGAGTGGGTTACAGACCCACCCACTCACAACCACACACAACCACTCACAACAACACTCACAATCACTCATAACCACTCACGACTACAACAACAACAACAACAGCGGCCATTCGCCACAAAGTGGCGGTGACGTGACACCACGACGCTTGTGCCAGGCTAAGTGCACCTTGAGGCCACCTGAAGTGTCGAAAGCCCGCCTGCAGGAGGTCACGGGGCAGACGCAGGTGCCACGCGTCGACTGACTGAGATGACTGGCTGATGCACTACTGCCCCCTACTGTGCCAACTTGCTGTGCTCTAGCCACCCGGTGCTCCGCTCGTTGTTGTGAGTGTCGCTCCTCTGCCCTCCGTTGTTGTTGGAGGGCGACTGCCTCCAACTGACCAGTAGCGTCCTTCACGAGCCTCCTCCACAGAGGCCGATCTTGACACCGCTGGTACCAGTCATCGACAAGCCCACTCAGCTCCACGTCCTCCTGCACCACATCACTCCATCTCTTCTCTAGCCCGTGCCGCGCCCGTTTAGCCCCCTCGATCCGGCCGAACAAAAGCTGTTTAGGCATGCGGTGGCTGGGCATGCGGGCTACATGGCCCAGCCAACGCAGCCTTGCCCGCCGGAGGAGCTCACCGATGGGTCTTTGTCCAGATTTTCAAGGATTTGTGAACTCCCCACACAATCCAGCCAGGTTAAACCCAGGATGGATCGTAGGCAGGCCAGCCTAAATGTTTATAACCAGCGAAGATGCTTCATTAGGACGGGCCCACGTTTCGCAAGTGCAGAGAAGGAATGGAATGACTGTGGCCGAGAAGACCTGAAGCTTAGTGCCGAGCGACAGACCAGGTAGCTTCCACACAGCGTTACGCAGCCGATGAAAAGATTTTGCCGCTCGACTTATTCGGAGTGAGACCTCTGCTGTTAAGCCGGAGCCAGTCATAAGCACACTGCCCAGGTATGGTAAACTCTCCAATCTCTCCACAAATGCCCCATCACTGATTGGGAGTTGTGGGAGTGGAGTGTCCGATGGTACAAAATACCCAGGCAGGTGCTTAGTTTTGGTGGGGCTGATGGTAAGGCCTCATCTCTTAGTGGCACGCTCCAGTCTCAGCAGCAGCGTCTCCAACTCCTCTGAGTGAGCAGTAATCACCAGATCATCGGCATACATAACGTGGTTAAGCAATAGGGCGCCATCCCTTGACTACACCCATTGTATCTGTACCAGATAGAAATTCCTCCGGTAATGTGGGAGCCAGAAGACAGCATTGTCGCACCCCAAGTGAACAGGGAATGGCTCCGACTCCCGGCCACGTAGTTTTACCCGGGCCCGCTCACTACATGAAGGTCCTAAATGATCGTGAGCAGAGTCAGGGCCTCCGAAAGCACGAAGAACAACCCAGAGCCCAGCAGGCCTACTGATGGTATCATAGGCCTTGACCAGGTCAATAAAGCAGAGATGTAGGTCTTGTTGGAATTCCCTACACCTCTGCTGTAGCAGACGGACAGAGAATATGGCATTGGGGTTCCGCAAGCCTCTCCTCAGCGTGCCTGGCAAGGCGATGTTGAATAATCATTGCCAGGACCTTTCCCGGCACACTGAGGAGTGAGATGCCCCTGTAGTTGTTACAGTCTGTGCGGTCACCCATCTTAAAGAGGGGGACCACCAGGGCATACTTCCAGTCTTGCGGAACCCGTCCAGTGGTCCAGACTGTTGTTATGATGTCAGGTAGGGCAGCCTGTACACAGACTGTGACGGTGTTGTGTAGGGCAGCCTGTACACAGACTTTCGATTAAAAGCTTTCGTGACTGCAAGGATTCATCTTCTTTGGTTCTTTCGGTAAAGTCACCACGTAGAATGAGAATAAAATAATAAATTGATAAAATAAAATAACACAATAATATTCTCACGACGTTTCGGCCACAACACAAGCGGCCTTCATCAGGTGAAGGGGACGAGACTGTCTGGAGGACAGCGCTGGAGTGAGAAAGCCACGCTATGATGACGACCTTTAAGCTGTGTGAGAGGAAACAAAGCGCCTTGACAAAGGAATTAGCGTATAATTTAGCATTGAAATGGCTGAGTGATTAGCTTGTGACTGGTCACAGAAAAGGCTATGTTAAAGTTAAAGCATACACATCCGCAAAGGCACCCCTTGACAAAGGAACCATTGGCTTAGTAACCATTGGAAAGATGTTTTAAACCATTTCCGTTCTTAATTAATTGTATTTTACGATGACCTTCAGACCGCAGCTCTTTCGCTGGCATTGACTCTTAATACCTCTCACACCACGGTTAATGGTATGGTTTACAACATGGA